GGGGGGGGGGGGGGGGGGGGGGGGGGGCTGTGTGTCAGAGCCTTCTTCTGCAAGAGCGCAAACCTTTAATGCCATTCAGGTCTGACCCAGCCACCCCTCCAGCTTCCACGAAGAGGGTACTGCGGCTCACGCACTGGTTACTTTGCCCATTGCCGTGACCAAACACCTGACAAAAAGCAACATAAGGGATGGGGTTATTTTTCTCCCTAAGTAAAGGGTGCAGGCTCCATCGTGGTGGGAGAGTCACTGTGGCTGAGGTAGCTAGCCATGCGTCCTCCACAGTCAGGAAGGAACGGACAGGAATTGGGACTGGGCTTCCAAATTACTTCCTCCAATTATGCCCTAATTTGAGACATCCAATGTTAAGAATATCTTCCAAAATAGCACCTACCAACTGGGGATCAAGTGTGTGAACACAGGAGCTGTGGGGGACATTTCACATGGGACCACAGCAGGGTGTATGAAGTGACAGGGGCTGCAGAGCTGCAGATAAGACTCTGCACCTGTCTGCTGAGTTCTCCCGGAAATCCCTTTAACCTGAATGGCAGAGATCTCATTGTAACCCACAGGCAGTCATGGCATCTTCTTGTAGGCTGTTGCAAGGGTCCAAGCAGTAGGTGCCTAGAAAGTTCTTTCTCAGCTCTTGGCACAGGTCAGCAGGCCCTGCACCAGGCTTGTTTGAACGTCTTCTGCACCCACTTTACTGAAATGTGGTCCTCTGACCAGCAGCCAAATCCCCAGGGGAGTCAGACACAGCAGAATACTCTCTCAGGACCCCACTTAGACTTACAAAACCAGTGTACACTTGAGGAAGAGGCTGGGGGACTCTTGGGGTGCTCTTGTCAGAGTATACTCCAAAACTGATGCTCACAGTGAGAACTAGGACCCATTTGATTGTGGAAATCCATTGACAGCAACATGTTGGTGCCAAAAGATGTCAGCACGGGGACAGAGGACATGCCCCACATCCTCAGCATCCTTTAAACCCCACAGGACCGCATGTGTTCACAGCCAAAATGACACCACTTAAAGGTTTTCTGACAGGCAAAAATGAAACAATGCGAGAAATGATCCAAAAACAGAAGCAAGTGATCTTTATCTTGTTTACGTAGAGCAAGGACATTGCAATTCCTATAGCTGGTCCATAGTTTCAATTTTCCGTTTTCCAGATTTGCTTCCTGAGTAGCAACCATTTTTTTTTTTTGTATTTAGTGAGTTAATTAAAATAGTGAGAACTGATAGTGGCTAAGAGCCAGAGGCCTGGAGGTTTGGGAAACTAAATGGGAGAGTTTTTAGTTTGGCTGAAGGGAATTGATTGAGCCAGGCAACACTGGCTTTCCCACTAATGTTACTTTTAAGATTTATTTATTTTTATTTATGTATATGGGTCCTTTGCCCGAATGCACGTCTGTGTACCACCTGCATGCCCTGTCCTTGGAGTCCAGAAGAGAGTGTCAGATCTGGAACTGCAGTTACAGATGTTTGTGAGCCACCATGGAGGTGCTCGGGCAAGAGCAGCCAGTGCTCTTAACTACCAATCTATCCCCCCAGCCCTAAACACACTTTTATTTTAATACCACACACTTAGAACCTGTACTGTGTCCATGTGCGGGAGGCACAGCATGACCCAGGGCCGCAGCACAGTATCACACGTGTTCAGTGGCCACAGAAGCTGAAGGCTTTATTATCTCTGAGCATCACAATCAAAGCGAGGAACAAACGATGCATACTATCATGTTAGCAGGAGCAGTTCAAGCACATCCCTCCACCCCATGTATTGGAGAGGAGGACACCACAAACAGAGGGGGAGGCACTAGCTGAACTTATCGCGGGCAAAAAGGGATGAAACACAACCTCTCTTATGGATACTGTTTAAATAACTACTTGATGGACATATAGTTACCAGGAGGGGGGAAACGAGCTTGGGAGGAAGGAAGGAAGGGATCTGGAAGCAGACCCAACTGCTGGAGCCATCATCAATGACAGCAAAGCGGTTTGTAATGAAATGCTCACCCTCCTGCAGGCAGACAAGCAATAGTAGAGATCCCCCCTTTTTTTCCGAGTAGCATCTACCTTGATATGATCAGGGAGCAAAGTCCAAGGATGCAGCAAGGACCTCTCACTGGCCATAGCACTTTGATTTGCTAGGTTTTGAAACTCAGATTTAATGAATGAAACCCCAACAATAATCACAACCCTGACAATAGCGCAGAAAGAAGGGAGTCGCGTGTCCATGCTATTTTTGCAGGGGGAGGGGGAGGCTGGCATGAATGTGAGTCCTGGAAGGGAGAAATGAGCATCACATCGCTTTTACAGTGGTAACCACATGAATGGAAACGCAGTTTCTCTCAGAATGCGTGCAAAGCTCTCCATGTAGCAGACAGCTGGAGGTGGTAGCTCTGAGCAGGTTTGCTTGCCAGAGATCTGAGCACGCGTTCTGGTCACAAGAGCCCTCCTGGATGGCTGGCTTGGAGCACAGTTACTGGCACAAAGCAGAGGAGCAGGCAGAAATCAAGAGCCCTGGGTGCCCAGCAGTGAACACAGGCGACACCCAGGGCAGCCTTCGCTGTTTCTTCCAGGGACCATGTGGGAGATCAGACCCTGACTTACCCATGTGTAGATCTTCACAGACAGCCTATACTCTGTCATCTTCCCTTTGCCAAGGGCCACCAGCTTACAGATGAAGCCAAACACAGTCACAGCTGTCGACATTCTGTATGTCCCTTCTGACTGTTGTTTTTTTGTCTCTAAGCCCCTTGGCTAGATATGGAGCGCCTCCGCTGGTACCCTAGCCCAAGTTCATGCCATTGCAGCCGCAGAGAATCTCCTTGAATGTTTTGCGCAGCTCCAGGCTACGGAAGGCGTAGATGAGGGGGTCGATGACAGAGTTGCACATGATGAGGACCAGGTAGGTGTTGAAATGGGCCGTGTAGCAGATGCAGTAAGGGTTGGTGGGGCAGGTGATGATGAGGACCAGGTGGAGGAAGAAAGGTGCCCAGCAGAAGATGAACACCCCCAGCAGGATGGTGATGGTGACAGCCCCCTTCATGCACGAGTGCTGTTGCGGGGCCACCCCGTGAGCCGGCGGCAGCGCAGCAATGCGCTGGACGTGGAGCCTGGCAAAGAGGAACATGTGGATGTACAGGGTGCCCATGAGGAGCACCATGGCGAAGAACATAGTGATGAGGCACACGATGACCATCTTGCTCTCGGAGTAGATGATGAACATCACACCGCAGATGCCACAGCAGACCCAGATGGCCACGATCAGGGTGAGGGCCTTCCTCACGGTCATGATGCTGTGGTAACGAAGGGCATAGAAGATGGTGACATACCTGTCCACGGCGATGGCCAGGAGGTTGCAGATGGAGGCCACCAGGGAGATGCAGATCATAGAGTCGAAGATGTTGTCCATGTGCTGGATGAACTGGTCCTCCAAGGTCAGGGAGTCGCTGTTGATAATGGCGATCATGATGGTCTCCAGGGAGTTGGACACACTCACCAGCATGTCGGCTGCAGCCAGGCTGCAGAGAAAGAAGTACATGGGGGAGTGCAGGTTGCTGTTCCTGACCACAGCCAGGATCACCAGGATGTTCTCCATCAGGCTGACGATGCCCAGTGCCAGGAAGACCTCCGGCTTGATGAAGACCTGCTCGCAGAACCCACTGCCGCTCCGGTTGCTGGCAGAAGGGGCTGCAGGATGCTCTGAGAGGTTAGGCAGCATCGGATAAGCAGAGAACAGGCAACAGGAAGAGTTCATGGTTAACAGAGGCGTGAGTCCCAGCTGCGGCTCCTGAGGGTCCTGAGCAAGCTGCTGGGAAACACTCTCCTTCTAGGTGTTTCTCTTGTGGATGCTGCCCAGTCTAGCCTTTAGGAGAGAGAGAGAGAGAGAGAGAGAGAGAGAGAGAGAGAGAGAGAGAGAGAGAGACTTGGAGACATAGAAAGAACTTTCCCTGCGGCTCCAACAATCAGCGCAGATCTGCTCAGCCTGCCTCATCCCCTGTCGCTCCCACCCCCTCTCTCTCCTGGGCTTCTCTCAGAGCCCAACCTGACACCGGTTGCTACAGTTACAGCTCTACTCATAGCGAGGTAGGGGATGTGGGACTTGGCGCTAGATGTGAGAAGGAAGAGAGCCCTCGGATTTTATGCATCGGAACTCCTATTTCATCTCCAGCGCAGCAAAATGACCACTGAGCAGCTAGCACCCTCTGACTGACAGCAGCAGGTCCGGGCTCTGGGTTCCGTTCCACTGGGAAGATGTGGAAGCGGACTGGCGCCCTCTGCAGGCCGGACTGCTCCCCTGCGCTCGTGCAGGTAAAGAGGGATCGTATTCATTCCTGCGTGAATGCCTTTGTGGGTTGATTTGGGCTTTGAAAAACAAAACTGCTATGTGTCAGGTCTGCACTGGGTGTAAAGGATACAGAAGGCAGCAAGAGAGGGGCTGCTCCATAACCAGAACTGGTGTGGAGAACTGGAAATCAGAGAATTGCACACACCGGTTGGCAATATTTCAGGCTTCATTCAGAAACTCAACAGTTAAGCAAGTAACACGACATTTTGTGTTACATCATTTTTTTTTATTTTTAAGAATATATAAAAACCACACCTTCACTAATAGTTCATTAACTATGCAATGTAATATGTCTAAGACACAATATGATGCCTTAATTTAAAAATAGTTTATTGCCAACCATTCCCTGGTTCTTCAAGGAGCCCCAATCTTTTTGCTATGGGAGAGGCATGTCCTGCTTCAATGTTGATGGCTCCTGATTGGTCAGGGTATGATTTCTGAAGCTGGGGGGGGGGCGATTGATCATTCTTACTTTCTAAGTTCCATCAGCATCTGGGCCTGGTAGTGTTGTAGGTTGGTGAGCAGATGTTTGTTTGTGGAGAGGTGGAAAGTGCAGATTTATGACCAAATTATCTTGGGTTGCTATATTTCCTTGAATACAGAGTCTCAAGTATACATGAGATATATATACCAGGCTGGCTTTGAACTCACTACGTATCCGAGGCGAAGCTTAGACTTCTGATCCTCCTGCCTTTGTCTCCTGGCTGCAGGGATTATGGGCACATGTCACCACGCCTTGTGTATGTGGTGCTGGGGATTGAACCACGGGCATCATGTGTGCCAGGGAGGTACTCTACCAACCAAGCCACATCTCCCGGCCTGTCTTTGGCTCTGCTTAGACCATATATAGAGTCATGCCCGATTCTGTGCATGATGTAATGTTCTGTGGCTATCACATGGAACTTTGGAAATGTGTCCAATTAGCAGAGCACTAGCTTCTGCCAGCTCCAAAGGGAAGCATCTCATCACACAGCATTGGGAGCCCAGAGCAAGAAATCCCCCCACTTTGCTGTAACCTGCCTACAAGCCACCCCCACTAATACTTGTCTGGATTTACTACTTTTTTTTTTATTTTGTATCGATAAAGCTTCAGGAAAACATTTAAACTCTGGAACCTGTTGCTTGGGCAAACTGAATTCATATCCACCAGCTGTGGTCACTCATATTTGGCTCCAGAATAAGCTACCTCTTGTCCCCTTTGAGGTGAGAGTTGTTTTGTTTTGACACCAGGACACTGATGCAGGGGTGTTTTGAGTTCAGGTCTTGCTTGAGCTACGGAGTGAATTCAAGGCTAACCTGGGAAACTTAGTGAGACCCTGCCTCAAAATTAAAAAAAAAAATGAAACGAAGGCTGGGGATACAGCTCAGTGGTAGAGCACGTGTCTAATACATAAGAGCCCTGGGTTCAGTCTCCAGTGCTCCAAACCAAACACTGGACCCCAGTGATCCTTCCTCCCAGCAGGGGCGTTTCTCTATACTATTCCATGCTCTTCCATAGAATCTCACCCACCACAGAGCTTCTGTTCTTAGGTGGGGGTTGTTCCTCTCAGCCCCTGCTGCTGGCTCACCAGCTGGGTCTGTGTGGTAGACACAGGAGAATGTGACGGACACGGGTCAGGGAAGTCTAAGAGCCGGTGGGGCAAAGGGGAGGGACTCTCATCTGGATGGTTGAAGAACCTTCCTAGACTGAGGAATATGTAGGTTTTGACTTCTCTGAAGAGGTGATACCCAGTGTGGGGGTTGGTGAGGTGGAGGCTGGGGCTGAAAGGTATAGGAAGGGATCAAGGGAGGAGTTTCATCTGGTTGACATAGAGGAGGGTTCTGGGCAGAGGTACTACCGCACTTGCAGTCTGGAGGGAATAGCCATCTGTAGCAGTGGGCATGAGGACCCCACTAGATTTCTGAATCAGAGTCACTCGGGGTAGTATGAGCCAGGGATGCACCGTTTTGTCAAACTCCTCCTTTTTTTGTTGACCTGTGACAATTCTCAACTGTAGTAATTTGATTCCAGAACTTAAGTATCTCATTCCTCTAGATTTTCCCTTCCCCGTGGACTCCCAGTAATGGCCAGCCAGGAGAGATGGCTATCGATCACCTGACATTCTTTAACTGACTTCTCACTGGTTACCCCTAGCAACAGCCGACTGTGGCCAAAATAAACTTTTCAGTTCAAGTAGAAGAAAATTTAGAATACTCATTAAAACTTTGGAATGAGGAATTCGTCTTAAGATGGACAACCTCTGGTTTACTATGTAGACGACTGTTACATGACATCAGGAGACAAGCCAGGATGGGTCCTGAATTTCTCTCATAGACAAAGCATCCTTCTGCACTAATAGAAAACAGAGAGTCTCTGACTGAAGAAGCTGGGTAGAAGGAGTGAATTGGAATTCACCTGAAAGGAAATGTGAGCGGATGAGAAGGGCATGACAAGGTGCTAGACCATCGGGGGAGGCAGGGCAATGCAGATCACGGTGGGATTTCAGTACAGTTTCCCTTGGTGGATTGCCAGGAGTTATAATGCTGGCAAGCTCCAGACAGCATGTTAGAACTCTCTCACTGTCTTTCAGTGTTTGTAAACAGATCCACAAGCTGTTGGTTTCTGCTAAAATAACACTGATTGGTGTTGGGAATCTCAGCCATGGCCTGAGGGGTGTGAAACAGCTCTTGATTCATCTTCAGACTTTTGATGTCATTTCTGATCCTAAGCCACCTTTGTTCTAGTGTGCAGGAAAGCAATTTCAAACTTTTGGTGACTTCTTGTCCTCAGGGTTACAGCCAGAGATGTGTTCATACCATCTAGGTCTGTGTGTTTAAGGGCATTGGTGTCATGGGCAAAGCTGGGTTATAAGGCAGGCACATTTGGTACCTGTGAGGTTTTCCTGTTCTGTGCTTGGCCTGAGAACACTTCCTGGTTTCCATCCTCTGGCATGCATGTCCTTTGGGGAGAAAATGGGGGCTTGACACGTTCAACCTGCACCCTCATATGATAGCTCTTTAAAGCTGCTTTTGCTTTTTTTTTTAAAGCCCCAAATAAACAAACAACAACTGAACATCCCAGCATTGAATCCTCACTTGGGCTCACAAGGTAACTAAAAGATAGATGAAGGCTAGACATCTCTGCCTTCATCTTGCATCTGCCTACCTAACCAATCATGGGCTTATGACATAATGGGCTGTCACCCCATTGTGCAATAGCGGCCACCTCAGACAACTCTTTATATTAATAAGAGTGAAGATGCAATAGAGTCATAGACTCCACTCCCTCCGGATGAGGATAACTGTCCCCCAGAGTGAGACTGCATCCGGAGCTGAAGCAACCATCTTGGAGACTGGTGACCTCCGGGGATAACATCACCCACAGCTGAGACAATGATAGGCCAATGGTGGGCAAGATGGCACCTTGGAAGAGGCTATTTAATTATGCATACCTCTCGCCTCTATTTAACTTAAAGTTCACTTCAATACTCAAAAGAGAGACTGTGGGTCACATTGATTCAACCTCCTCTCTCTGCCTTTCACTATTACATGTCTATTTTCCTTTTTATGTGTGTTTGTGTATGTGCATGCATGCGTGTGTATATAAATGCAAAGCAATGCGTATGTGCATATGGAGGCCGGAGGTTAATCTTCAGGATTGTGTCTTAGGTGCTCTCCACCTTGCTTTGGAGGCAGGGTCTCTCACCCATTTCAGAGTTTGTTCACTAGGCTAGGCTGGTTAGTCAGCAACCCCCAGAGACTGGGTCTTCCAGCCTCTGCCTCCCCAGCACTGGGATTCCCAACAGAAACCATGCTGAGATTTGTATGTATTCACAGGAGTTCAAAATCAGATCCCCAGACTTGTGCAGCAGACACTTTACTGACAGAGCCATCTCCCCATCTCGATTACTCAGCTCTTTCATTGGTGTATTGGACTGGGTAGCTAACCCTGGACTGTTGCAGCTGCTGGCTGGGGCTCTTGCCCTAAAACCCTGGATATATTCCAACTGCTAATGAACACTGTGGGTCTCTAAACACCGCATCTCCTCCACTTTCTGAGAGAACCACACGGATGCAACTCTGCATTTTAATAGAATCTTCTATAAATGAATTGGCTTTTTAAAATAATCACAAAACGTGATGGGGTCTGCTGGTGTGTGCCATGCGGTGCTGGCACATGTGAGGATTCTTGCTTGGAATCTGTGGTCATAAATCATCCTAAGACTGTAGAGTGGATCAGGAGAAAATCCACCCAGATGGTCTTTGTACTCCAAAAGCATCTTCAGTCCTGTAGCTGGTGTGTTCCTGTTATCTTTAAAGACCCAACCTGAATGTCAACTTTACAAAAATGTTTTTCCTCATTTTTCATATGCTAGTTTAGTTTCTCTGACACAAAAGTCTTCCAAACAAGGCCAACAGTGTTCTGTTCA